TGTGTGTGTGTGTGTGCAGGTTTTTGACAAGGCTTATTCCACACTGATGCAATACAAAATGGAACTTTAAGAAGAACGAACCTTTCACCAGAGGGGCAAAAGGTGCTCGACTCTGCACATCATACTCTGTGACGGGACTTGATCAGACTCTGAGAGTTGACTGAAAAGAAACTGGTAACTCACTGGAGTCTTTTAGCACAGGCCTGGAGATCTGTGACTGTGAGATTTGGACATCTTGAGGTGGATTTGGAGATGAAATGATTGTGACCCAGATTCATTATGTTCTATAGACCTGCATTTGCCTGACTTGGCAGCCTGATGTTTGTACTTTGTCATTTAGTTTTTTCCTGTTAGATGGTACAGTGTATATGGAAAAACAATGTTGTTTAGAAGTAATGTCTGTGTGAGTATTTTCGCTTTATCAAAGCTTTAAGTTTCCCACGTCCCTTCAAATCATTCCATGATTTTGTTTTAATTTGGTGCTATAGATGGTTTTGTAGCAGTAGGTGTCACTTTTTCCAAACAGTGGATGTGTCATTTTGAAATTAAAGTTCAATAATTTTCTACAGAGAAAGAAAAAAAAAATATAATAATGCGTATGTCTTAATCAGATGCACAGGGGCAACCAGTGCAGGATACTCTGTGATTTTTTTATTTAATCATTTCACCATCCCAAAGACTGATGGGATAAAAGTATACAAAAATATTAAAGAATGATGAAATTATTATCAATTATAATGAATAGATGTCTGAAGAAAAAAAGAGTGTAAGACTTAACAATCTTTGTTCATGGCATGCCAGTTCCATTTGTGAGAAAAGACAGTTTTCTATGAATAAGCATGTCTGGCCTTGAGAACTATTTGAGCTGTGTTTTGCTGTTTGTATACTTTATGTACAATAAAGGACTGCGGCTGTGTGACATTTGTCCATAAAGAAAACAAAGGAGCCTAATGTATCTTGTCAAAGTTTGATCGTTGGAGCCTACTTTTGTTGCTGTGATGGGAACTTGCCTCTTCACTTGGATTCAGTGCATCAATGGAAGGTTTGTTTATATGACAAATGTCCTCCCTGTACTCAGAATTTAGGTATACTGCATTATTCTTTATTATATGCAAATGAACAATCTTACATTATGCAGCATCAGACGTTTGAATGAGCTATATCCCAGGTTCAGTTCAATAAATTTATGCTTCAACGGGCCTGCTGTCAGATTGCCCAGTGCTACTGAGGCAGTTGAGTGTATGTGTGTGAATGTAACTCTGTCGTGTGTTGTGCTTTTCTGCATCAGTTGTGTTGCACTCTTGTTTAGAGAGTTTCCAATAAACGTGTGTATGCTTACCTACCTGTTGCTTTTCATATCAGTAGGATTTAATTGGGCTGCTGTCAAGGGCAAATTAGTGGTCATTATATATGCTTTAGAAGCTAACTTTTTAGAGTACTATTCCTTAGTCAGTTGGTCACTCCATCACTTTGGTTTAGATTGAAATATCTATAGTATGGATAGCCATTCATTGTTTTTTTTTCTTTGACAGACATTTGTGTTCCTCAGATGATGAATCCTAATTACTTTGTTGATCTGCTGACTTTTCAACTAGCACCATTTGAGTTTTTTTGAGCTATGGCTTAATAACTGCATGGATTGCATATTCAGTATCCCTGGAGAATACAGGTAAAACATTACTTTAGTGATCCCCTAGAGTTTGCATCTAGTCGTTATAACCAAATACATGCAATGCAACAATACAAGCCATTCCCGGGCAGCATTAGCTGTAATTGTGTTAAGTGCTAATTAGCAAATGTTAGCATGCTAACACTAAACTACTATGGTGAACATGGTAAACATTTTACCTGCTAAACATCAACATGTTAGCACTGCCATTTGGTGCATGTCTCCATGCATTGTGCGCTTACCCACGATATACTAGTGTATGAACCTTTTGTTTAGAGTGCATGGTGAACTAACAGTTCCCCTGGAAGAAAACATGAATGCTTTTAGCCCTATTTAGAACATCAGGCAATAGTGCACTTCAGCCACCTGTGGCTTAAATTAGTAAAACAACAAAAAATCGTAAGCCATAAAAACAGGAGAGAAAACTGTTCGGATCAGACTTGGATCACCTGATTTTTCTCCTTTTTTCCTTCCCAAGGCTTCTGTACATCTGCCCTCTTCGGCTGATGAGTGATGTGTGGTAACATCCCATCCAATCAAACCCAGGAGTGCTGCAGCAGCCACTGTAACTAAATTCCTGCTGGGAAACAAACTGAAAGATCCTGGTTTCCTTTCACACTACATGGCTCATATATCTGATCCATTAGGTGAGAATATGATCTTAATTTGGCAGCTTTTGGAATGACGGTCTTTCAGTTTGGTCTGTGTTAATAATAATATAAACAAGAAAGACTTAATTTTTGAATAAGCTAAATAACTGAAATATTTAATTGATATGTGCATCACCCCATCATGACGTGATCGTATTTGAAGGGGTTGGTGAAGCTGTGATTAGGAAACCCCCTGATGGAGTCTGGACGATGGTGATTATTGTGGTGGTGGTGGTGAAGGAATGAAGAGAAAGCTGAAGATCTGGATGTGATGAAGAGTGGACTTCTGATGAGCTCAGCCTGGGCACTGGATATGATGAACTGGAGGTGAAACGGGTGGTGGAGGGTCACAATGATGTTGTACTGAAATGACAGCTGAAAGCAGCAGAGAGAAGAACTGATTTTGACAGCAGCAACATGGCTGGATGGAGGAGATTGTGGCAAAGTCTGATTGGATTAACTGAAAGAGTAAACGCCCACAGCTGATTAGAAAGGCGAGTGAGAGAATTGTGGATGAATGAGGCATAGTAAGAAGGTCTTCCTGATTGAATTTACGCTGAGCTTCAGTGGTCCCAAAGTCTTCCTGCACCTGTCAGATTTTACTTTATTTGGAGTTCACAGTGAATTGCTAAAACGGCATAATATTTTGAGAGTCTGTGTTCCTCTTAGGTATTGCAGGTAGTACAGTTCAAGGAACACCAAGCACTAACATAACAGTAAAACACCCACATAGCGGCAATTACACAGACAGCCATTGTTGCTCCTGAGCAACCCATTGAAACCTTACAAGAAACCACATACTGTGAGATTATGTGTGCTATTTAAGTAAATTATGCACAAAATACAGCCTTTGTTTAGCACTGCAGAGGACTAACATTTGATACAGCAGCAAAGAGCCGCATGTCAGTTACACATTTGTTTGCTTGTTTGCCTTGGAAATAGAAGAGATGGTTTCCTTTCAGTGTATGAATGATTATAGTGCTCAATCAACGGCAACTGTGTCATCCCTCAAAACATCCATATTGTTTTCCTGTCAAGGGCAGCTATCTGCCTCTGGATGAGCAGTGCCATTATGGCAGTCAAATCAACCGGCATCTAATGCATCAACACTCAGCTGGCATCTAATATCACTTAACATTGCAATACCCTTCAAGACGCTGC